ATTTTATGTATACAAATGTATTGCTGCTGGCTGAGGGAGAGTTGGTTTTCTTTTCTTTTTTAAAAAATATTTTATTTATTATTTTTATTTTATGTGTACAAGTGTATTGCCTGTATGTATGTGAGTGCACCCGTGTCGTGCAGTGCCTCGGAAGTCAGAAGAGGGCGGCAGATTTCCCTGGAACTTGAGTTAAGGACGGTTTGAAGCTGCCATGTGGGTGCTGAGAATCGAATCCTGGTCTTCTGCAAGAGCAGTCAGTGCCCTTAACTACTGAGCCATCTCTCCAGCCTGAGTTGGTTTTCTTTAAGGGAGTGATGTTAGATATGCTGATTAGGCTCCAGTGGATGAATTCATACTAAGAAACAATTGGGTATACAAACTTGACTATATAGGCCTTAACAAATATGACAGAATTCATATAATTTGATGGGGGCACTCTGGGGGTGCAGAAAGGGGTTAGGTTTAAATATCATTAAAATGTATTATATGAAATGCACAAAAATTCAATAAATTGAAATACATGCATTGGTACACATACATATACTTTGAAAACTTATATGTAAAAATACTGCCTATGGGTCGGGCGTGGTGGCACACACCTTTAATCCCAGTACTCGGGAGGCAGAGGCAGGCAGATCTCTGTGAGTTCAAGGCCAGCCTGGTCTACACAGTGAGTTCCAGGACAGCTGGGGCTACAGGGAGACCCTGTCTCAAAGACCAAAAAAAACAAAAAAACAAAAAACCTGCCTATGCTATAATTGACTTGTCTTTCACAGTTTATTAAGAATAGCATTTTGTCAGGTGTGAGGATGCACACCTTTAATCCCAGCACTCAGGAGGCAGAGGCAAGAGGATCTCCGTGTGTTCAAGGCCAGCCTAATCTACATAGTGAGTTCCAGGCCATCTAGGGCTACATAGTGAGAACCAAAAATCCCAAACAAACAAATATTGGCCCCAAACAAAAAACAAACAACAAAACCCCCAAATAAATAAATAAATAACACCCCCCTAGTGTTTGTATTTTTAGATAATTGCATCTAAACTGACATTCCTTTTTACAAGTACATAAGGGCACAAATACAGGAGCAGAGTTGTCTATTGACGTGTTTTCTAAACAGGCTTATCTTATTGTCTAACTTTTAATTAATTGCTTTTAACTTACAGTCCAAGAAAAGATTGTGATTCCTTTACCAGTAGAACCCTGTATATTCAGGGATTGAGCACTTTAAATGCATCATCTTCTTATGTTGGATTATTTTAGAAATCATATCTTTACATTCTTTATCTTAGTCCTGTTTAAAGCTAATTAGATGGAATATTTCTGATCTTTCTATGACTGCTAATTTTTCTTTAATTGTGGTGAAGTCTGTGTACTATGAATAGAAATTAATTTTGGTCATTTTTTTTTCTCCTGCTTATCTTCCTTAATCAGTAGAAAGCTTTGTTTGCCAGGCTGAAAGATAAACTAACATTGCAATTTAAGCTAAGTGAAAAGCCAGTGCCATTTGTTTCTTTCAGATCTCTATAAAAATGGGCTCCAGAGGGCTAGCTTCATACCATTTATAGACATCCTGAAGGTAGGAGAAATCATTTATTTGTTCACTGACTGAAACATACCAATTGGTTGCGAGGGGGTTCTAGGGGATCATCTTGGTCTTGCATCAAGCAGAATTCATTGTGTTATTTAGACAGTGATAGTAAAAGAGACTAGAACAGAAAAGAATCTTTTAAATGCAGTATGCACGTGGGAAAAAATGTCAAAATATAGTCTAAATTATTCTGTAGCTGAAACATTTGATAGTTTACATTTTATAAATTTTAATTTAAGATTTGCTCATAAATATTATAGCAGAATGTTTAAACTTATACATTTATTACTGAAAAAAATGTTCAGTGTTCTTTGTTTCCTTTAGGCTAATGGCCATTATTAACATGTTTTCCCAGCTATTAAAGTTGCGATTCTAGAATACCATTATTACAAAAATATTCTAATATATTTAAATGTGATTGCCATCAAGTTATCATGAAATTATGTCAAGTTGAGGCACATAAATAGTTTAAATATTTGTGTGTATCATCACTGCATAGAGTTTAAAATAGTCTTCATTACAATATGATTAAGAATAAAGTAGCTTCCTTTTTTACTGTTAATTTTGATTTTACATGATTATTCAATAATTCTGTAGTCTATGAATCTTTATTGAAAACCTACTATGTGCAAAGTGCCACATTAGTCATTGTGGGTAATAGAACTATGAAATAGGTGGTTTTTAATTTCAAGTCTTTATTATCCAGCTGAGAATGTTTAAATGTCCACAGATACTTAAAACTGAAATCAGTGTTCCAAAATGAAGCACAATTATGTGACAGATATAATTTACCTAATTTTATGTATATGATTTTTCTAAGTCCATGTCAGCATATCTGATAAAGAGTAAAATTTTATTTGACAAAAAAGAAACCTCAAAAATTCTTCCGAGGAAGGAGTTAAAATATCTTCAGATATGCTAAAGACATAGACAGTCTCTTTGACATACACTTTAGTTAGAATTACTGTTCATGCCAAACTTTATTCCCTATGCTCTACTTAGTAGAATTCAAACATCTGTTTCCTTGACCAATTTTAGGTTCCTAAAGATTTTAATTTCTCTGAGATATTTATAGATGTAAAAGAAGTACTTTTGGAAGATGTGTGCTGTTAGTAATTTTTCCCTTTTATATTCATGCTTTATATGTGGGAAGAAGGTATATTTGCAGTGTTTCCTCCATACTGGGACTCCAAAGTAATATATTCTATACAGATACTAAAATACAGACAAGGAACTAAGAAAAACAGGTGCTCAAAATAGTATCTTTAGATGGTATTTAGTACACAGACTGTAGAAAGAGAAGGCTCAAAGAATGAAGCTTTGTATATATACTTTTTTCCTGCTTTAAACCTCTTTTATTTTCTTTTTGGCCAGTAATTTGTCATATTTCAATACACAACACCATTAATAAACAACTAAAATGGCGCAGTTGAAATTCCTTTTTTTTTTTTTTTTTTGGTT